TCTGGGTTTATATTATTACCTCCTGTTCCTCAGGGCCTGGAAAAGCAGAGAGGTGTGAAGATAAAAGTTGTGAGGAGGCCAAACTAATTAAGGGGAATTGAGGGGAAACTAATATCTTTAACTGGCCTTGTTTTGTTTTTTAGTTAGGGAAAAATCCTAACAATTTGTGAGCTGACCAGGGAAACAAATGAAATCAATGAGACCAAAGGACAATCATGACAATGAAATCATAAGCAGGCCTCACTACTTCAGTGAGACTGGGTGGGTAGTGCAAGGAGGACAGTCAGGAAGGCCTGGGAGCCTGGCTGGGCGATCTCCCCATGCCCCAGGCTTGTCTCCAAGACTGGGCACTGCAGAAGAGAGGTGGAGGCGGGTGAGTGGGTGGCCAGCCTTCTGTTGTATTGTTTTCTTCTTCACTTTCTCTGAGCCCCTAGTTCTTAGCCCACTTCCTAGAACACTGTAAGCACTTAACAAATGCTAGTCAAATGACTGATGGTGCAAAACTACCCCAAGTTAGGACAGAGAGCTCTCACATACTGTGAGCAAGCCGAGCTCTCCAACAAGGACTGATTAGAGAAGGTCATGGAGGGATTTCTGCGTGCTCATTTTAAAAGAAACTACAGAAAGACAACTGTATGAAAAGCGTGCCCCTCTACATCTGGTCATGTGAGAAGGAAGAAATGAGAGGGAAGGCTGCCCAGCGAGGTGAGGTTGCTTCCCTTTGCATCACGTGGGAGAATGCCAGCGTTCTAGCTGAGTCCTTTTTGTTCAGATCGTGATCAGTAATTGGGTGCAAAAATGGTGACCCCACCTCAGCCCTGCAGCCTCCTTCCAAGCCCATCCACGAGACAAACAGCATACTCTGAGACCGACTGCTGGACAGATGAGGATTCAAGCTGTGAACCAATGAGGAAGGAGGCATGCTGAGCTAAATCAGACAATCGGGCCAGAGCACCTCACAAAATGCCCAGAAGTATCTTTAGATGGATGATTCCCCCAGACAGACCCGGCACTCAGGGGCCCTTTCTGCGGCCCCTTGCATAGAGAGACTGTGGGCTTTGTTTCTAGGAAGAGTAAGCTCACTCCTGCATGAGGTAGCTGTTAACTCGGTTCTTTCTCAATCAGCCAGAACCAGCCTCCCTGCTCCTTGGAGCCACTCAACATCCTGAGCCGTGGATTGATTTCCTTCTTTCTCAGAGAGCTGCCAAATGGTCAGCTTTTTCTTCTCTGAGTTAAGCACCCTGAGTTCCTTCAAGCTTTCTTTGGACAAGACAGTTTGCTGACTCCACACCAGCTTGGATCTGCTCTGATGAATCCATGTCCTCCCCATAAAGGGGCCCATTCTTGAGCCTTGTCCCCTTTTAAAAGGACCAGGTACAAGACCCTTTGCCTCAAATTAATTTAACTCAATCCAGCAAGCCTTTGTTAAGTATTTACTACATACCATGATCTTTAATAGACTCTTGATCTACAAAGATCTACAAAGATGAAATGGCCCAATCCTCAAGGAGCTTCTATTCTCTGGGGACAATTAAATTTGGAATCAGCTGATCACTCCAGTTTTACCTGACTTTAAGTTTTCCTAAGCTAAGCTTCCACACCTTGCACAACTGATTTTTAAAACAGTTTAAATTTTTTTGTTTTTACTTTACCTAGATTTCCCCCTCTATCCCTCCCAGCCTCCCAGAAAACCATCCAGTATGTCAAAGAGGTTTTTTTTTTTTTAAGAAGAGGAGGAAAACCCCCCAGCAAAACCAACCAACATTGGACAAATCAGACATTCCACACCCCCTTCCGTCATCCTGGATCCCAGTGTCTGATAGGAGAGGTAGGGGAGGGGCATCTTCTCATCTCATCTGAGAAGCCAACTGTGGTCCTTCAGACTTCCCACCATTCACTTTTGACTGTTGCTCTTTGCATTTCCATCACTGGGGTAACTATGTCTGGTGTTTTCCTGGCTCTGCTGACTTCCTTCTGCATCAGTGCACATCAGTGTCTCCATGTCTTTCTGTACCCATCATCTACCCCGCTGGTTCTACCATATTCCCAACCGATGGGCGTCCCCTTTGTTTCTGCTTCTTTGCTACCACAAACAGCGCTGCTGAAAACATCTGGGTCTAAGAGCAAATGTGAATAACAGCTGACACTTACACAGTCCGACTACACTAAGCGCTTTACAATTATCACCTCATTTGATCCTTACAGTATCCCTGGGGGATAGGAGCTATTACCATCCCCATTTTACAGATAAGAAAACTGACAGAAACAGTCACTAAGTGTCTGAGGCTGGATTTGAATTCAGTCTTCCTGACTCCAGGCCCAATGCTCTATCCACTGCACCACTGGCTGCCTCTATTTCAAGCCTCTTTCTTGTCACTGATCTCCTTGGGGAACATGGTGGAATCTCCAGGTCAATGAATGATTGATTTTTAAAATCAATGCTATCTCATCTCATCAGTCTGACAATCTCTTCTGGAATGTTTTTTGGGGAGTAACAAGAATTGTGCTGGTCTGTAATTTCTGGAATCTACCTTTTTCTTTCTTGAAAATCCAAATATTTATTCATTTACCCACCTAGAATCTTTCACATTTTCTGTTTCTAAAAGACTATGAACAATGGTCCTGAGAGTATACCTGCAAGTTGGTTCAGCACAACCAGGGATGTCCCAATCTAAAACCTGGGGAATCTACCCTATATGTCTCTATTGAGCCCCTGCTGGGATCCAGGTCATGTGTTAGCTCCAAAGGTAACAATGGAACAGTTTCTGCCTTCGGGGAGATTATATTTCAGTGCAGGGAGGAGATCACAGAGGAGTTTGAACTTCTTGGTAATTGCTGGATGTTCACTTATTTGCCTATTTAGACCTATGTTTGGATACAAAGAAAGGCAAAGGACAGTTCCTGTGCCCAAGGAGCCCACAGTCTAGTGAACCTGATGGCTATCCTTTCTTAGAGTGATTCCATTTATTTCCTAATTCTTTGCTGGGTCTTTACTTAACCAGTATGGTTTTCTCTCCTTCTTGACTCACAAAGATCAATGTAAATTTCACTCATCAGAATTCGAATCCACATTTTCCATTTGCAAACCCACTTTGTCTTTAGCACCATAGTTCCCCAAAGTCTACATCATGCTAACACAGACATGTCAACACTTTGGAACATGGACCCTTTGGAAAAGAAAACTGATGACTTAAAGGGAAGAAATGGTTTTCCTTCGGGCCACCTATCTCTCCATTCTGAAACAAATGCCCTCATTTCTCTATTTCTTCCAAAGCACGAATTTTTTGGGAAATAAATTGTGCGCAAAAGTGCATTTCTTGCTCCTTTCAACAACCAAATTGTCCACACTAGAAAGAGTACTTTTATATGTATGTATGTAGGTAGGTATGTAGGTATGTATGTATATATATGTAATATGCATATACAGACACACACAGAGAGAATCTTTCATAAGAATAAAGTTGAAGCCTTTCGGAAATCCTGGGGATCTGATTTTACCAAAGTTAGCACAATTTTGCCAAAAACTTTGACATTCTGGATGTTAGTTATTTCTCAGTAAAGATAATATATTTGCACAATATTAATTATTCAAAGACATGGGGTTAAATGTTTAACCACGAGAATGAAATGGTATACCCTTCCCTCAAATATAGAAATTACAGTACAAATGAAGAAAATTATTTTTCTCTCAGTCATGAAAAATTAATTCACTAATTATTATGCAACCAAATCCTAGACCCAAGCGTCTTAGACCCAGAGATGGAAATAAGGATTGCCATTTCAGGCTACCACATTTGGTCTGTTTTAATCCCCTGTGTTTTGTTTTTCCTCACTCCAGCTTTGTTTGCAAAATGCTTGTAATTCATTAAACATGCTGCCAAATAAAATTCCATCTGGCTTTTTTTCCTCTAAAATTAAAGACATGCCAGTAGCCAAGCACAAGAAAATAAAGCAGGGAACACCCGCAAAGAAGGGAACACATTTGTTGGTGATCAGGGCTTCAGTATTAAGCTTCAAAAAGGAAATATTATAAACAGTGAGCAATAAAGATTTTTAAAAGGATAAAAATACCTTAACTGTGTCCTTTTAAATAAGGGTGAGCTTAGAAGTTAGGACCCTTGAATTCAATTGCTCTTGTTCACTTTACCGCTAGCCACTGACATTCTAAAAAACAGTAACAAAGAGCTTTAAAAGCAAGCAGCTTTGAGAAAGATGAAACAATCCCGCTGCGCGGCCTAGCTGGAGGCTGATGGATGTCTTCTCGCCCAAACCTGGCTCCATGATTTTACTGCAGAAGAGGAGAACGCCAACCCATGGGGACCAAGATCACGCCCTGGCGGGGGGTGGGGGTGGGGCAGCGGGGAAACCCAAGGACATCTGCAGCTGTCTATGTCTGGGCGCCTCCTTCTCTGTGCACTAGAGGATGGCACAAATTTTAGAGAGTGCTGGGAGAGACACTTTCATAATAAAAACCAAGCTCCAATTTCAGGACAAATAGAGAACCTAATACAATAAGGAGCAACAGAGAAATTGGAATTCACCAGATCTGGTAGAATGCTTCTAGAGGAGAAAAAGCAAGTGAAAACAACAGAGTCCTTCGCACGACCCATGGACACAGTCCAGCTTTTCTCTCCAAAATCTGCTACATTCCCCGCTCCCTCCCTAGGGGTCATCCTCATGTAGCTTCTAATGGAAGGACCAGCTTACTATGAGCTGCATTCCCTGCTCCCTCCCTAGGGGTCACTCTCACATAGTTTCTAATGGAAGGACCAGATAGCTGTGAGCTGCATTCCCTGCTTCCCCCTTAGGGGTCGCTCTCACACAGCCTCCAATGGGAATCTGTGAGCTGCATTCCCTGCTCCCTCCCTGGGGGTCGCTCTCACACAGCCTTTAATGAAAGGACCGGCCAGCTGTGAGCTGCATTCCTTGCTCCCTCCCTAGGGGTCGCTCTCACACAGCCTCTAATGGAAAGCATTGACGTCTCTCTGTTAGATACTTGCCGCTAAGTAAAGGTCGGTTGAGGGTATACAGAGGTGGAAGCTCTTCTATGTCTGAGATCCGCTGGTACGCTGCTCTGGAGAGGTGGTCCCCGTGGTACAAACTCCCCAAGATGATGCTAGAGAAGTAAATTGGCTCCACGAAGAGGCTCAGCAAGGATCCCTGAATGCCCAGCACGTTCCACCTACAGGGCAGAAGAAGAGAAACACCTTCCTCTTAATGCGCCTCCGGATTTCCCCGGGAAAGCAGCCACCCCTCGAACCTCCGAATCCGCGCTCTCTCCTGCCGTCCAGGCGCTTCGCTGGGGCTGCACCCACCTCCGCAGAGGGCGCGTCTGAAAGGGAAGAGTCAGTCCGCGGGGCAGGGAAATTCTGAAAAGAGGACCAGAGCTGCCTGGCGTTGCCCAGACTGGCCGAAGCCCTGGGCCCCTTGGGCGGTGGAGTGCCAGAGACCTCGAGGCTGACACAACTCGCCCTGAGGCCGCACTGGAACTTGTGCGGAGAATACGCCGCTTCAAACTTCCCTCCTCCAACGAGGCCTTCTCAGAAGAGTTAGCCCCGCGAAAGCGCGTGCACAACACTGCGCTCCCTCGTCCACTCCCATCCTCTGCCTCTAGGGTCCAGGCGGGACCACTCCTCGGGCCCAAGAGAAGCTGGCGATTGACCTCAGCCCAAGAACGTCGCCGCTCAGTGTAAGGGCCCCGTTCTGCGTCAGAGGACCAGGACGACAGCTCTGAGAAGCAAGCAGGCAAACAAGGATTTCTCCATCAAGAGCCATAAAAAGCCAAGAGTGGAACAAAGTTTTGCCCAGAAGGATTCAGGCACACAAGCATGGCCATCTGGGCAAGTTTCGATGGGGCCTCAAGTCTACTTGCAGTTGATATTTATAGATATTTCTGTGTGGAAGAAGCAGCGGCTATTTGATGTTGCTGGGCTGGTCCTTTAAGGGGGCCAGGAGACTGTCCGGCGTCCTTGACACCTAACATATAAAAGAACCACCTCTGGGCTTGGTGTTAGAGGTTTTAACAGAGCTCCAACTGCCCTGTGGGCACATGTTTGACCTGACATTACCAACTGCCGTGGGAAATGCAGAGACAGAGAGCAACATAAAATTCAGATTTTATTTGCCTCTAACCAGGAAACTTATCCTTTTTAATCTTACTAGAAGTAAAGCTGCATTTTATTGCATTTTGTGGGTCGTGTCTGCATTCTAACCTTGAGCTTGAATAGCTGAATTGGCCTGAGGTAGGCCTGGCCCAGAGTAACTGGCATGGTTGACAGGGGTTGGTTATAATGACTTCATGGTTAAGTTCTTTGTTCAAGTGGTGGAAGGCTAATGTAAAAGAAACCGAGCCTCTGGTGATTGTGCCCAAGCTAGATATGAGAACCTTGTGCCTCGGAGCTATGACATTCTTAGGGGGGTGTGGGCAGTGGGATAAGGAGAGAGCTCCCACTAACCCCCAGGGCTACTCCAATGGATGCTCAAGAAGCTTGACAGGGAAAGTAAAAACCTAGCAAAACTAAGCATCCCTTGGCTCTTTTTGAGATTTAGAAAAGCTGGATTAGTCACAAGGAAAATGAAGATGAACTGTCCTTGTGTATTTAGCAGTTAGAGGCAAAGGGTAATAAGCTTTTGCTCTTGGAAGGAAAAGAAGGGGTTTATGGATCTGGTTACAGCCCAGACGAAGAGGGCAGTGCTGCTAATGGGGGTGGGGGCTGCTAGGCTACAGATGGAAAGCATGATCTGCTAGAGAATGTGTTAAGCCCTGCTGAGATTAGAGCTGTAAGGGAAGACAACAGTAGAAGTGCCCATGAGGACTGCAGATCCATACCAATGGGAAGAGAACCTTGGGCCAATCCCATTTCTTCTCTCCATACACTCCATCCTCCATAAAAGTCAGATAGTCCACTGGCTTTTACCACTAAGGAACTTGGAAGGTTACAGGAAAAGTTCAAAAAGCACATTAAAGAATCCTCAAAATGATAACTATCAAGAGTATAGTCTAATGAGGTCAGCTCAAAAGTTTTTCAGAGTCCCATAGAACTCCAGGCTTACCATAGATTTGCTTTTTTATAAAGTTAACTAAACCAGCAGGAAAACCAAATGGAGACTCCTTTTTCAAGAGGCTAAAATGGGGAGTTTTGTATACTCAGTTCCACAAAAATGAATTCTCTTTGGAATTAATCCTCCAATGGGGGATAGTGAAGGAGGGTTGATATTTTTAAAGCAATGTGTCTGGTGGACTGGATTTATGCCCTTTGTCTCTACCCAATATTTCCTAAAATCAGCCTGATTCAGGAGCATTTAGATTTTTGCCTTTTGGGTGGAACCTCACCTGAATGGTATCAGGTTTTAGTTAGAGTTCTTCACCATCAGACCTCCATACCAGCTTGGGAAGATTAGCTGGTGAGATTGAGTAGGAGACCTGTTTGTGTAACTAGAGTGGGAGGGGGGAACTCACTAAGGGGGTCCACACAAACAGGCAGATGCCCACTGCCATATTAGGGGAGTGGACAAGGTTGAGATTCTTTCCCATAAGAAGCTTTGGGTATGGCTTTTGAAACATGGACAAGATGATTGCTAACACTTTCAGGCTTATGAAGGTGTTAGCAAAATTGTTCTGGGACATATGGCCTGGGGCAGGAAAGGTCTTCCTGTCCTACTCACATTTAGGGCATCGCCTCTCCTTGCTAATTGTTCAAAGCCTCCCAAATCTTTGTTTCCATATATGAGAGGTGGTTGAGGGCCGTTCTCCCCTAAGGTTCAGGCTGTCCTACGTGTAGGATCACAGTTGTATCAGAAACCCTATTCCCAAGTCATTGTGGCACCAATATATGAGGGACCGCTAGATACTTGTAAAGGTCAGCCAGATGGCTCAGTGAGGAGAGCGCTGGGCCTGAGGCCAGAAACACTGAGCTCAAATCCAGCCTCAGACGCTTACTAGCTTTGTGAACATGAGTAAGTTGCTTCACCCTGCTTGCCTTAACCTGCTGGAGAAGGAGATGGTGAAGCCTTCCAGAATCTTTGCCAAGAAAACCCCTTCAACAGCACTGAAGTGTGAAGGTCCACAGGGTCACAAAGAGATGGATATGACTGAACAACTACAAGACATTTGCGGCCCAATGTCCATAGGAGTTTTGGCAGGAAAGCCACCAAGAGAAGAGATATCCTTTGTCAAGCAGCAGTGGCTAGAAAGTCCCCTCTATGGGTCTCACATGCAGATGCTATTTGGAGGACTGGATCATGGGCACCTTGTGAGTATCTCTATGGGCACTTATCACGGCCAGTTATTTTTGGCAGAGCCAAATGGAAGCCACTTGTGTTGCCAGAAACATCCCACCACCACCCACCCACACATGTGCACCCGCACACTAAGACCTAGCTCTTGTAAAGTGTCTTTTTGCTTAGTCCACTAATGGTGTTGCCTGTTATGAGACCTAAATGGCTATTAAGTTCAATAATGTGGAACACCAGATGTTGGGAGACCTATTAATTTCTCCCAGGGGGCCAAGTGGCATGGCTGGCACGTGTGAATGCCTTGAGAGATGGGGCAGACAAGCTTTCTATTTCTATTGATTCCTGAGTAGTGGCCACAGAAATTTCATGGTTGAATAGTCTGGGGACTGAAAAGAACAAGACTAGGCAATTAAAGGTTCTCTTCCTTGGGGTCAGAACCAATAGAGGAATTTTGCTGAAGTCTCCCATAATGTGCAGCTGTTTGTAGAACATGTGAGAATCCACATCACATGCCTTCTGCTGAACTGAACACTCAGGCTGATGCCCTTATAAAAATGGTAGAGACTGGGGACTGGGTCCTATGGGGACATGGGGGCTATGATGCCCTGGTGTGGCAAGCACAGGTCTCTATGACCTCCTTCACTTGGAACAATGTGGCTACTTATGTTCAACAATGGTCTTTGTTCCAGTGGACAACCTGCCTTTGAAGAATCAGTATGACATGATCCCGCCAAGTAGCTCTCCATCTGCTCCAGACTGGCAGATTGGTTACCCTGGCCCTCTTCCTCCATTGAAATGAATAGTTGTGCACGCACTGCAGCTGAGAATTATCCAGGATAGAGAATTGCAATGCCAGCTAAATTTGCTACAATAGCAAACACAATAAACACTCTTACAAAACACATGCATCTTCCTCATGGGCTCCTGGTGCCATTGACTTGAATCAGTGCTTCCTTTTTACCACTAAGAAAGTCTGAGACTAGTCCCATCTAAATCCTATTCATTGGGTTTTCCATCTTTGTCACTATTCTTGGCAACCAAGAAAAACTCTCCCTTCTCTACATCCTGCCTCCACTGCTACCACTTTCCCACCCCCACTCCCCAACTGAAATAGAAAGAAAAATGAAACCCATTGCAAATATTTATAGTTAGGCAAAACAAATTCCTGCACTAGCCCTGTCCAAAGAAAATGTGTCTCAGTCTGTGCTTGTGTGTCCTTTGCCTCTTTATCAGGTGGATGGCATGTTTCATCATGAGTCCTCTGGAATTGTGATTGGTCATTATGTTGAACAGTTCCTAAGTCCTTCAAAGTCATTTGCCTTTTAAAATCCTGTTATCATTGTATGGATTGTTCTGGTTCTGATCATTTCCCTCTGCATTAGTTCATATAATTCTTCCCAGGCTTCTCTGAAACTGTCCCCTTAATCATTTTTTATGGCACAATAGCGTTCCATCACATTCATATGTCATGACTTAGTCATTCCTCAATTGACAGCACCTCCTCAATCTCCAATTCTTCTCGACTGTAAGAAGAGCTGTCATAAATATTTCTGTGTGTCCTTAGGCATTGTTTTGCTTAAGACTTTTCTCTGCCTTAATTTCCCTTTTGTCTTATTAGTTCCTTTCTCTCTTTTCCTTTTGGTTCCTCTTTTGAGTGAAATGTATTTCTGCATCCAACTCTAGAGAGTGAGGTTCAAGTGTCACCCACTCCCCATACTTTTTCTTTCTTGTTTGTGCAGACTTCTTGTGAGGTAATTTTCCCTCTCTTCCTCTCTCTCTTTTTCTCTTAGTGTATTCCTCTTTCCCTACCTTTCCATTCTTCTTTTAAGATCAAGGCATAGCAGAACCATTCCCAGGTCAGTTGTCTAATTAGACTCCCTCTTGACCCTTGGTGATGACAGAGTTCTCACAGAACACATGTATTATCCCTCCTTATTAAAATGTAAG